GGCACCTAACAACAGCAACAATGAATATAAATAGTGGCACCAGAGGTATCAATTGGCTTTAATACTTGTTCTAATGTAGCATGGAAAAGAATGACAAGAAACTCAAACAATTTTTAGTGAACACTGTCAAAATCTAGCACAAACTGGGGCAAGTATGAGTATAACATCTTAGTCAATAAAAAGAGGCATTAAAAATACCTCTCTAGTATTTCACACACTAAAATTCACTTAGTTGAAGTAAACATATATGCAACCGCAGGTCAACTATTTCTTCCACTTCAATTTCTTTCTGATAAGTGTCAACCTAAGGACGGCAAACAGTTTCCAAGTGGAGTCTCAAGATGACCTGAGGTAATCTGGAACCTATGACCTCATTCTGTTCCTCTATGACTAAGTACAGAAGCTCTGATAGTGTAGTGGGTACGAGTTGGGCTGCTAACTTCAAAGTTGGCATTTCAAAACTACCAAGAGTTCCATAGGACAAAGATGAGGCTTTCTACTCCTGTACATATGTACAGCTTTGGAAATCCTATGCAGGCTGGCTATGAGTTGAAACTGACACATATGACTAAGTACAAAGACTTACTAACAGATTATTTTGACAAATTAAGTAGTCCAGGGTACAACTCAATATTCCATCCAAGGGTGAGAAGGGATAAAGAAAATGTATGGTGGCTACTATTTCCTTTTGGTTGCTGTTTATTTTGGAAAAATAAAAAATTCTTTTATATTTAAGAAGGCTTCGTGACTACATCCAAATGTTTGCTGTAAGAAGGAGCAAGTAAGCAATTTCTGGAAAAGCTGTCGGGAAAACATTTGCAAGGTGTCAGAATTCAGTAATAATGATTATCTGCTCTGTATGTATACTCTATCTCTAGGGTCTTGGATTTATGCTCCCAAAATTAACTTGGATCACTCACAGTTTCAATATTCCCAACAGATGGAAAATTTATTTAAAACTATTTTTCATGAATTAGATCTCTTAAATACGAACAGCATTAAGGTAATTGAAAGAGCTCTTTTTACTTCATGAAAACACTCAAGTGGGCACAAAGAGTTCGCTCAAAGAATGCATGCGTACAGAAGAGATAGGTATACATCTTATGTGAGAAAGGGGAATCCAAATAAAAAGTCAGCTATAGAGGTTGATGATGGGCACAGATACTGCCAAAATTTTAAAAAATCACCAATTTTTTAAGTAGAAAAGAAACTTTTCTATATACAAAGTTTTGTAGCAGAACAGTATGTTGTTGTTATGTGCTGTGGAGTCGGTTCCAACTCATAGTGACCCTGTACAGGGTTTCTGAGGCTGTAAATCTTTACGGGAGCAGAAAGCCTCATCTTTCTCCTGCGGAACAGCTGGCAGTTTCGAACTGCTAACCTTGTGGTTCACAGCCCAATTAGTAACCACTACACTACCAGAGCAGAACAGTATAGCTTATATAAGAACCACTGAGGAGGCTAACAGTATCCCAAATGATAAATGGTTTCAAGCAAGAAAACAATGGTTTTCTACTCAAAACTTTATCATAATTGCTTAAGTAAAATCCAAAATGGGCGAAGGACGACATACTCCTCCCTAAGAACTGAATGTATGTTACAAGTAAATAGCCTGCAAGATCCTAAGGTGTAGAGAATGAGTTATTATTTATATTTTTGTTGTTTGTTTATTTACAAAAGCCCTACTAGTAACAGAAAAGTCTGGTCCTGTCTCATCCTCATAATCATTTGTATATCTGGGTCCATTCTTGGGGCTATTGAGTTAATCCATCTCAGTGAGGGTTTCTCTAATTTTTGTTTGCCCTATTCTTTACCAAAATGATGTTCCATGCATCTTTGATTTTCTTCATTTGTGTTTGCTCCAGATGAGGAGAAACCGACCAATAGTTGCACTGTAGATGGCCGCTCACAAGCTTTTGCCACCTTAGACACTATTCCGTAAGGTAGACTATAGAACACTGTCTTTTTGGATTATGTTATACCAATTGACTGTGGTGTCCCATGAGACTATGATCCTGAACCTCAAGGTCTAGAGAAGCTATCTTTAGTTTTGGCAAGCAATATTGTATCATTTGCATGTCATATTTTGTTAATGTTTCTCCTCCAATCCTGATTCCATGTTCTTCTTCGTAGCTAATGACCTCTCAGAATATTTGTTTGGCACGCAGACTATTGAATAAGTAAAGTGACAAAACACAACCCTGTAGCATACTTTTTCCAATTATGAGCCACATAGTTTCTGTTTGTTCCGTTCAAATCATTGTCTCCAGATCCATGCATAGGTTCTACATGAGCACAATCAAGTGTTTTGGAATTCCCATTCTTCATAATGTTAGCATAATTTGTTATGACCCACACAGTGAAATGCATTCAAGTAGTCATACAACCCAGGTAATCATCTTTATGGTATTCTTTACTTTTGGCCAACATCCATCTGACAATAGCAATGACATCCCTTCTGCCATGGTCTTTTCTGAATCCAGCTTGAATTTCTGAATGAAAAAAGCTGTAGTTGTTTCTGCTAGCATGCACTTATTAATTATATTGTTTGATGATGTCTACATTCTGTTTGATCATCTTTCTTTGGAATGGACACAAGTATGGCTATCTTCCAGTCAGTTGGCCGGATAGCTGTATTCAAAATTTCTTAATAAAGATGAGTAAGTATATCCAGTGTTCTGTTTGTTGAAACATCTCAATTGGAATTCTGTCAATTTCTGGATATCCTATGTATGACATGGAATAAATGGAATGAGAGTGAGTGCTGTAGGAAAAAGTGCTTTTTATTCTGTAGTGAATAAAAATATCTCTGGAACCATCAAGGGAGAAAAGCGAAGTGTGAGACTGTGTCCGGAAAGGCAGTCATCTAGGGATGGAGACAGAGGCAATGATGTGGACAGAAGGAGTGGCTAGGGACTCTGGACTCAGGGAAGGAGAGGGGTTGTGTGCTGGCGGCTGGAGGACAGGAGTGTGGGGTGTACCCTTTTGGTATCTGATGATGCATGCAGGGGATTGTGATCATTGCAATGAAACAAAGTATGATAGGATGAATGTAAAGATAATGTTCACCCATATAAGCTAACACATAATCCACAATGAAACTTAAAAAAAAAATAATTTGATGAGATGTTTTATTGATATATTCTTATATTTCATGATATTTCATAAATAACAAGAATAGCAATGGTGTAATACACCATCACGTTCTAGGCTGGGTGCTAATCATATTGGTATTTAATATTGAGGAGAAAACTACATCTTCTTAATTACTTCCAAAAGTCATACATTCCAAACATCTCTGTATCTTTCACTTTTCAAGATGAAGCCCTCATTGTCTCTTACCAGTTCCCTGCTTCTACCCTCACCTAGCTTCCAACCCATTGAATCTACCACCAGCTAGAATTATATATATATATATTGTTGTTGTTGTTGTTGTTGTTGTTGTTAAGTGCCGTTGAGTCGGGTCCGACACATAGCGACCCTGTACAGGGTTTCCGAGGGTGTAAATCTTTACGGGAGTAGAAAGCCTCATCTTTCTCCCGCAGAGCAGCTGGTAGTTTCGAACCGCTGACCTTAAGGTTCGCAGCCCGATTCGTAACCACTATGCTACCAGAGCGTACCAGAAGAAAAAACTTTAGATATAATTATTTCAAAATATTTGTGTGGATATGGTACACACATATTTTGAAATAATTATATCTGAAGTTTTTTCTTCTTTCTTTTTTATAAGTTTTTATTGTAAATTATGTGATAGCTTACATGGGAGAAAATTTTTACATTCATCCTATGGTATTTCATTTCATTGCAATGATTACAATCCCTTCCATGCATCATCAAATAACCAAAGGGTATACCCCACAAGCCTGCCCACCGGCCAGCAGCATACAGCCCCTCTCCCTCCCTGAGTCCAGAGTCCCAAGGTGCTCCATCTCTCCATGTCATCGTCTCTGCCTCCATCTCTGGCATCACTGCTTCTCTGGGTAGGGTCCCACACTTAGAACGATATTTTTAAAATATGAATTAGATTATGCCACTCCTCTAAATCAGAATAAATTCCAAACTCTTTATCATAGTCTTTGTGGTACCTAGTCTAAAAGATGGCTACCCAGTCACCCACATTTCCAGGCATTCACATAGTTTCCCTTCCACACTATACCAATTTTGGTCCTAGCGAAAATAGCATATAAAAGAAATGATGGTGTGCTATTCCAAAGTTAGGTTACACTGACTGTGACAACAATTTTGGGTGCTCTCTTGGATTTTTTTTGTCCAAAGGAAGCAAGCTACCATGTTATGAGCAGCCTACAGAGACCTACAAATGGCACAGTACTTACTTCATGGCACTAATCACAGTCTGTGATTTCCCCAGACAGCAGAGGCTCTACCTGTCACATTCATCATTGTATTCCCTACCTTATTCAGGACATGGCGCAAAGCATGATCTAACTAAACACTTGGGTAATTAATAAGTGATTTAAACTTTTCTTTTCTTTTTTTTTTTTGCAAAACAAAAATTCACATCAGATATTAACAACAGAGAGCAGACATTCCTATATTCATGTTTGATTAGGACGGTTATCTTTATTAATGGACATGACATTTTGTAATGCTAACCAGGAGAGAGTATACTTACTTGATTTTGGCCACAACAAGCAGATCATTAAACAGGAAGAGATGCCGCTCCTGCCTCTGCAGGCCTCTCTTGAGTTCTACCCAGCCATCAATCAACAGAGTCCTGCTGGAACATACGAATGATGAAAGAAACGCACATGTGTCTGCACTAGCGGAAGAACTCTCCCTGTCAACAGACCACACACCGCAAATTAGTTGGTCAAATGAATAGAGAATTAAGTTTGTGAAAATGTACAACTTACAGTTGTTCGAGAAATAGAAAACTTATTAAAAATTTAAAAATGCGATGACATAGTTTCCTAACGGGTTTCCTGATCTGTTCTTCATACAGCTTTTCCTCCCTGCCACTCTCCCCACAAACACTGAATTATAAAAATTTTCAAACAAAAAGCAAAGCTAAAGTAATTTTATAATAAACACCTGCATGTCCCAACCTAGATTCTACCATTATCTATCCTTCTAACTCTTCAATAAGGAGTTCTGGTAGCACAGCGGATTGTGAGCTGAGCAGCTAGCCACATGGTTAGCAGTTTGAATGTACCAGCCGCTCTGCGAGAGAAAGATGGGCTTTCTGCTCCCGTAAAGATTTACAACCTCAGAAACCCTATACAGGGTGACTATGAGTTGGAACCTACTCCACGGCACATAACCATCACCACTACCATCTCTTTATGACTGCACTTTATTTTGGTTCATGTTTCAGTGTAAACTTCAGGCAGTCGTACACATCCCTCCTCTCTAGCACTCCAACTTGCATAGAATTAAATGGAGTCCAATATTTGTATGTTTTCTTTTGATAAAATTGCAAATATGAATAAAATTCTTAGGTGCATATTAACTGAGTTTTAATAAATATATTCACCTGCAGAATCTAAAAAAAAACCACAACCCTATCAAAATAAAGCACTTTATTCTCACTGAAAAATTCCTTGCTTTTTCCCACTTTCTCCCCATCTCATCACCACAAAGGCAATCACTATTCTGTTTTCGTTCCCACTGTATATTAGTTTTGTCTTATTTAGAATTTGCTATAAGTGGAAGCAGTGTGCACTCTTTAATGTAAGTATCTTTTACTCAGCAAGTTTTCAGGATGCATTCATGTTATTATATATACCAGTTATCTGTTCCTTCATATATCTCTTGAGTATTATTCCACTCCATATACCAGAGTTTGTTTATATTTTTGCTATTAACAATAAAGCTGCTATATAGCATTGCTGTACTAGTACTTTTTCTGGCCTATGTTTTTATTTCTGTTGGGTAAACAGATCAGAGTGGAATTGTTGGGTCATAGAATAGTGGTATCTTTAATTTTAGTAAAAAAATAATATTTTATCAAAGCAGTTTTACCATTTTACATTTCCATCTACGCTGCATGAGAAGTTATTCTATAAGTGTACCAATATGTGGTACTGTCAGTTTTTTGGATTTTAGTCATTCTAGTGGGTATTGTAGTACTTATGAGTCGGACTGCTAGCCTCAAGATCAGCAATTTGAAACTACCAGGGGCTCCGTGGGAGAAAGATGAGACTTTCTGCTCCTGTAAAGATTTACAGCCTCGGAAACTCTATGCAGGGTTGCTATGAGTCGGAATCAACTCCATAGCACACAACTACCCCCACTGCCAGTAGGTATATGGACTCCTGGTGTGGGACTGTAGGATAAGTATAGGACTGCTGATTGCAAGGTTGGTGGTTCAAGCCTATAGGTGGAAATCTCATACAAGGTCCCTATGAGTCAGAACTGACCTGAAAATATTTAACAACAACAAAGTAGAATCTACAATAGTATCTCATCTATATTTGACTTTGCATTTCCTGAAAATTAACGATGCTGAACACTTTTTAAATGTGCTAATTGGCCATCTGTATATCTTTTTGGTGGACTGTCTATTCAAATCTTTGGCCCATTAAAATGTTTTTTATTTATATGAATCTTTATATATATCTTGGATATTAGTGCCTAGTCCTAAGTCAGGTATCTGTTTTGCAAATATTTCTATTACTTGTCTGCATACTTTCTTAACTGTGCTTTTGATGAAAAGTTAAAATTTTTGTTGAAGTTTACCAATTTTCTTCTTGTACGGTGTTTGCTTTCTGTGACCTATCTAGGGAGTCTGCCTACTCTCAAATCATAAAGAAAATCTCCGATGTTTTCCACTTAAAATCTTTATGCATGATCCATCTTAAATTAATTTTGATTTATGGTAGAAGGTAGGGACTGAAGGTGATACTCATTTTGTTTTTCTATACAGATACTCATTAGTTCAGCATCATTTGCACATAAGACTTTCTCTTTCTCAGAAGACAGATTTGGCATCTGTATTAAAAACTATATAGGGTCCCTATGAGTCAGAACTGACTCGATGGCACATAACAACAACAATGGAAAACCATATGCCTTTATAGCATGGGTCTGTTTCTGGGCCAATGAATATTTCTTATAAATATTTGTTGAATATTACGCCCTGGTTGCACAATGGTTAAGGGCTAGGCTGCTAACTGGAAGCTTAGTGTTTCCAACCCACCAACAGTTCTGTGAGGGAAAGACCTGGTGACCAGCTCTGTAAAGATTACTGCCTGGGAAACCTTATGGGGCAGTTCTATCCTGTTATATATGGTTGTTAAGAGTTGGAATTAACTTGACAGAATACATTAACAACAATGCTAGACATACAATGTCTTATTCTTTCATTATAATAAATCATGAAATTCGGTAATGTAAGTCCATCAACTTTATTTTCACTTTCCGAGATTGTTTTGGATAATCTAGAACCTTTGTATTCCTATATACATTTTAGAGATGAACAGAGTAGAGAAAGTCTACCTGAGTTGGGTTAAAAGGACTGAGCTCTGTTTTAAATGGTGAATCTAAGTACACCCATTCCTCACTTATTGACATGATTTAAGTCCCAAAGATCAGGTCGTTATGCAAAAATCAGTGTTATGCAAAAACGGAGGGTGACCACATTCACTCACAAAATGGAGGATGACTACATCATCATATGACTGCCAAATTAGTCATTACATAACTGCCAAACCACTCAGATCATGGCCCAGCCAAGCTGACACATAACCTGAACCATCACAACGAGTGTTACACTCACCTCATAACTCAATGTTTGTTACTGCCCGACATAAGTTGCAAATGTACAAAATAGACAGTGGATTCTTTATGAATTGTTGTTAAATGTGAAATGGAGGATACGAGTTAGTTGGTAAGTGAGGAGTAGGTATAATTTGATTTAATTTGGAATGTAGAAAGAAGGCAGACAGTTGTAACTTGCAAGAATAAGCTATCAGCAGTAGAGATGTAGATTTGGTAATACACAGACACCTGCAGACATAGTACTATGGAGATGGACAGAACTGCCCCAGAAAGAAGCACAGATGAAGAAAATCAAGCACTCTTTGAGCAAGGCTGTACTATAAAGAGGTGAAGAAAGAAGAACATGAACAAGAGGGCGACTGACTAATGAAATAGCAGAAAAAAGAAGAATGAAAGAGCAGTCACCAGGAAGGCTGAAGCTGATAGAAAGGATTGCAAGTTGGGCACTAAAAAGATGTTTGGGAAAAAGTTATGACGAAAACAATTTCAGAAGAATGGTGAGGGTAGAATTCACTCCTCCTAGATATGAGGAATGAATAAATGAGAAGTGAAGAATTAAAGGAAGGAACTGTAGTTATTTTTAAAGGCCTACCAAGTTTTTAAAGTCCTGGAGTGGTGCTATAAGTAAGACATTGGGCTGTGAACCACAAGGTTGACGGTTCAAACCCACCAGTCACTCCTTGGAAACCTTATACAGGGTTGTTATGAGTCAGAACTAACTGGATGGCAAAAACGTTGGCAGTTCAAACCCACCAGACACTCCAGAGGAGGAAGATATGGCAGTCAGTTTCTGTGAAGATTACAGCTGAGGATTAGATGGCTACCTGTTCTATAGAAGCACTAATTGTGTAGTGGGTTACAGGTTAGGCTACTAACCGCAAGGTCAGCAGGTCAAATCTACCAGCGGTTCCAAGAGAGTAACAGGAGGCTTTCTGCTCCCACGAAGATTTACATCCTCAGAAACCCTACACAGACAGGGTCACTATGAGTTGGAATCGACTCCATGGGACACAACCACCAACACCACCATTCTGTACTATGAGTTGAAATCGACTTGATGACAATGGGTTCTGGTTTACCTTTTGTTAACGCTAGATGGTGACTTTCTTGTTAGTTGCCGACAAGTCAATTCCAACTCCTGGTAACCTCAAGTGTACAGAGTAGAACTCCTCCACAGGGTTTATGGTGACTTCTAAAAGGCACAGCTGGTGAGGGAGGAAAAGTAGGAAGGGAAAAGAACTAAGTGTTCCTATAGGTAGGCTATCATTATTCTTAGGTGTAAGGTCTGAAAGCTGATGTTCAGAGTAGGTAAAATACAATGCTATTAAATGAAAGAGATTTACAAGTAAATGTGGTTTCAAAACACGTATTGTTTACAATTACATGCAGCTTTTCAAAAGGACAAGGGCTCCAGTTACTGACTCTGATCCCTCTTCTACCCAAGATGACTGGGCTCAATAAGACTACTGAGGACTTCAGGGCTATGGGCATGGTAGGGGTGAATGGTTTAAATTCAAGCCTTTTTTGCTAAGTAGTGTGATATGCCAACTTATTTTATTGCCTCACTTTTTCATCTATAAAAATCAGGTAGCTGAACTAGAAGACTTTTAAAATCCTTTTATAATTCGTATATGAGACTAACTACAAAAGCGTATGTCCAAAAGGTGGACATAAGATTACTGATGAGAAGAAAACAGATAATGGATGATTGATTATCTCCATAAGCGCAACTCTATTCTAACGCTTAGTTTTTGAAGGTGTGGCTAAGCACATACGGTGGGACAGTGATCCAGGTTTGATTTCTGGTCAACACTACTCATGCTTGGCAACTACTCATCTGTCAGTGGAGGCCTGTATGTTGCATGACGTCGAGCAGTTGACAGCAGAGCTTCCAGACTAAGATGAACTAGAACAAAAGGCCTGGCAATGTACTTTTGAAAATCAGTCAATGAAAACCTTATTGGTCACACAGTGGTCTGATCCCATTGTGCGTGTGGTTGCCATGAGGTGTGGTTGCCATGAGATGGGGCTGACCTGATTGCGGTTATAACAAGCACA